CTGACAATCAGGCCACCATGGTAGGCCTGCTAGCTGTCTTAGGGATCCTGGTATCCCCAAGACACTGTGCAAGTGTAGACACACAATTCTCAAAGTGGAATCCCTGAGAGCTGGTCTTGGACTCAGAGACCTGGGATCAGGCCCAGGTAGAGACACTGGGACAGTCTGCTTCAATGCCCATTCAAGCTCACGACTGGGAGAAAAGCTGCCCCTCACAGACACCTGCACAGAATCAGCCAAAGCAGATGAAATGGGGTTGAACAGGTGGTGAGATCCCCATCCCTGGGGAATTGAACAGAGGCTGGGGTGGTGTTGGGGGTCACAGGGACTCAACTCAGCTTGCTGTGAAAGACACCTAAGCACTCAAGCAGACCTCTGGCTGGACATGGAATGAGGCAAATGCAGAGGTTCGCATCAGGATCCAGGGGCAGCATGGGGTGTGCATTCACTGAGCAACTCTCCCAGCCATCCTGTAGAAGTTTGAGATGTTTATAATAAAATGTACAGAGAGAAATCAAATGAAGAACTAAGTCAAAGGGTAAGCCCCTCCGATCCTGGAACAGGGGTCCTCAGATACAGAGGATAACTGCCACCACCACTCCAAAGCCAGCCCTGCACCTGGGAGGAGGCCCTAGCCGCTCTCCTAGGGGAAGAAGTGAAACCCACACAAAATGAAGCTACGCAGTTGGGCTCTGCTGGAAAGAGACTGCTCAGCTTCTTGCCTGTCATTTGATGGCCACTAACAGCTCCCAGCCTGAGACAGCCTCAAACCTGCTTGCTCTTAGCGTCAGCCAGGCTGTTCATGCTAAAAAGTAAAACACAAGTGGAAAGCCAACTATAATGGTGCAGACAGAGAGGGTGTTTGGGAACCCAGCAGTAGTGAGCTTCAGGGCAGGATTGATCCAGGGCTATGTCTCTGGTGCTCTTAGCCAGCCACTTCCTCCCATGCCTAGCTGCCCTTGGTACCAGCCACATGGGAAGATCACACACCAGATTAATTCCAACCCACAGGAGAGGACAGCAAGGTCATGAAAGGGAGGGGGATACCTTTCCCTCCACACTGCCCGAGCCTCTTGCACCTATAGCCAGCTGAACCAATGCAGGCCACCAGATCCATTCTGCAGCCTGGTATAGGGTGGCCCGTCCTGAACCCAGGGATGTGGTACTGGCATCCCACCTATAATAGCCAGGCTGGCCTCGAAGGAAGCAGGCAGCAGCCACCTCCAACAGGTGACATCAGGGATACACGGTCCCTTCCAGGAGGATGAGACCTTAGTTCTTCCTGAACCTGCTGGAGGAAGACCATTTCTCAGAGATGTCACAGTCTGTCCCATCTATCTCCTCTTACGGTGTGACAATGACACCATCCTATGTAGAGAGGGGGTATCCTTCATTCCCCCTCTTGTACCTCGGTGGGCTAGGGCCATGACAGAAAGGATACTACAAAGTTGGTGAGTGTTTATTTTAAAAATTACTACAGTAAAAAAACACATTGCATTTATACCCCACAAAATCCTCCCCCTCACTTCAAACACACTCATCCCCCGTCTTTGCCACTTTCTGCAGCAGCTCGGGATTCCTCTTTCGTGAGCATCTTTAGTTGCACTGTTCTGGCTGCCTCAGTGTCCTGAATCCATTCAAAATGTTCCCTCCTCATGGTTATTTTGACCTTGAGGAAAAGCCAGAAGTCACACAATGCCAAATCCAGTGAATAACATGGATAAGGACACAGCTTCATTGTTTTATGAGGCTGTCCTTCCTTCTGTTGGATGGCACTCAGCAGCACCATTCACTGTATTTTTTATCACACTTCAGAAAGAAACTTTAACGTTAATTTTTTTAAATGTAAACATTCAACGTATATTTTGATCATACTTCATATGTGACTTTGAAGGCTGCCATAAAGATAACAAGCTCCCACCTGCAACTGTGGGGGAGACGTCATTTGCACTGGCCAGCCCACCATCAGGAACCACGCCCCTCCCAGCCTGGCCATGTCCTGGCAGCGTAGCCTTAGGGACGCCTTCCCTCCATGAGTTTGACCGGCCTTGGGATCTTCCCTGTGGCTGTGCTACCCCATGGAGACCAGGTCCCTGGTCCCTGCTACAGAGTAGAAATGACGCAGCTCTCGGCTGTCACACCCAGGGTGCGCAGAAGGTCCTCTGGGCAGGGGACAGGACAGCCTGGCAGCTCAGGTAGCCCTTCCTCAGGCCAGGACAGCTGCAGAGGGCAGAGGAGCCAGCCAAAAGTAGGGGTCAGAAGTCCTGGGACCCAAGCACAACCTGGGCAGTACAGCCTGGCACAGTGGTGCACATGGTTAGTCCGGGACACTTGGGAGGCTGAGGCAGAAGTATCCCTTAACCAGGACTTCAAGGCCAGCTTGGGCAACACTGCAAGACTTCATCTCAAAACAAAAACATAAACTACAAAGTTGGGAAGTGCAAGCCCATTTCTTAGATCTCCGCGCCACCATGTGGATAAAATTCTCCCTACAGATCAAATGGCTCTGGACATGCTGAGCTTTCACTCCACAAACACAGCAATCAGCCACAAGCAGAGCAGAAGGGAAGTGGAGCCCACTAGCGACACCCCACCTGGTCTCTCAGCATTTGTGTCCCTTATTTTCTAGGACAGAAGTGTCTCGTGCCCCTCCTGCACAGCACTGAGAACTCCTAGGTCTCAGAGGCTCCCCTCTGAGTCTGGTCTGACTGCACCACTTGGAGGGAAGAGGAGAAGGAAGAGAGAGGGAGGGGAGAGGAAGAGCCACAGAGTGGGAATGGAGTAAGGGAGGCCTGAGGCTCAGCACAGAGCCTGGCAGCACTGCAGCAAGTTGAATTCTTGTCCCAGCACAGAAAGGGTACAGGAAGTGCACGTGTGCGAACACACACACACACACACGCTTGCACACACAGACCAAGAGTCTCTGCCAGTTAAACTATACACAAGGCTGGACAGCTGGCTGAGGGTGTTGCTAAGAGCACTGCCGGCTCTACCAATGGTACTGAGCAGAGAAAGTGTTTGCAGGATCAGCAGCTGTGCTCAGCACCTGGGGACGTGATCCGCTCAGGCCCAGAGACCACATCCCTCCCAGGGGGAGTGCCTTCCCCCACAAGTCCCTCCCCAGGCAGAGACACCTTCCCTCACAAGATCTGGGAGCCCTCATGTCGATCTCAAGTGCACGCTCCCACCAAACAGGCTCCTCACTCCTGCTTCCAAGGAACCACATTAAACAGGCCCTCAGGTCCATAGAGCTCATTCAACCTGGTCCCTGTTCTGCTCTCTCCAAGCTCAAGCTCCCCTGCATGAATTGAGCCTGCACATGGCCCTGCTGCACTTGGTCCCGAGCGGGGATGGGACTTGCTTTCACACTGGACTTGGGGGCACAAGCAGAATGGGTACTGAGATGGGGACCAGGAGTGTCTCAGGGGAAGGGGTGACCTCAGATCAGTGGGCACCTCTTCCATGCACAAAGAACACCCAGTGGGATTTGGGGGTTCAGTCTTCCCACAGGACTCCATGCAACTCACCAGACCCCATCTCTTGTGCTCAGGGCCCCGACCATAACAACAGACCCTTCAAGGAGGCTGAAATTCAGCCCAGCTCAGGCCCTGGAGAACACAGCAGCGCAAGAGCAAGGAGGGTGTTGGGCCAAAACCTGGGGTGTTTCACCACTTGGTCCAACGGCATCAGCCTCACCCAGCCAAGCTCATTCTGTCAGATTCCAGAAATGACCCAAAGCCTTGTACACATCTACGTGGGAGTGGCTTACCACAAGGAGGATCAGGAGCCCTATCGGTGGTGTTATGGCCATGCTGGGTGGCACCAGTGTCAGCACTGTTTCCTGCCAGGAATTCCACTGCCCTTCCTGGTCCAGGGGAACCTGAAACACTACAGCACTGAGCTCAGCAAGTCCTGGAGTCCTGCCCTACAGCCTCTGGGAGCAGGCAGGGAGGATCAGGCTATGGGGCATCGCCATGGCCATCCACTGTGTGAGCACTAACCCTTTCCTGGTGACAGTCCTCACCGTAGGAACCTGCACCATGCAGCCTGTCCAGGCCCCAAACCCAGGTCTCCTGCCTGCCATCCGTGATGACCCAGCAGACCATGGGGGCAGAGTAACCCTGAGGCATATGAGGAGATGTTTGGCTCAGGGTCAGCATGTCTAGTTGGCCAGGTGACAGTGGCCGAGCACAGGTGTTCCCCTGCTGCCCCAAATCCCATTCTGAGGTAGGAGTAGGCCTTACAGCCAGCTCTGTTCCAACTCCACATTGTTCACACTGAGGAAGCTCCCAAGTCCTCACCATAGTCTTCCAAGAGGAAACTGAGGCGGAGAGGCTGCTCCTCACATACAGGCAATGGGTGTTAAGAATCCCAGCCCAGATTCAAACTCCAGCATCACATTGGGCTCTCAAGCCCCGGTCCTGACCCTGGGTCAGGCATGGGAACAGGGCCCTGCCAGGACAGTAGGCCTCTGGGTCACAGACTATCTTCCTCTCTCCCTTGCTAGCACTGAGGCCAAGATGGAAAGTGATCACTCAGTCAGTCAGCAACCCCTGCTCAGCTCCTGATGGAGATCGCATGCAGCCGATCTGTTTATCCTCTCCTGCTATTCCCAGGCCAATGCTCACTGACACCAGTGCAGTTCTCTGCCAGGGCCACACAGATGCCTGACCCCAGAAGGGAAGGGGCCTCATTTGGAGAAGGGAAGCCAAGCCACTGTGTCTGAAAACCTCACTCATCCCATCTAAGCAGCCTCTTTCCCACATGTGGCTCTGGGTCAGAAATCCCCCTGTGGTTGCAGATTTGCCTCTTCCTCCTCCCCCAGCCAGTAATTGTGCCTGGAAACTTTATAAAGGAAGCGGTTGCCCCTGTGGCTGACAGCTGGATGTGAGGAGCTTCTGTTCAAAGTGATTCAGCAAACCAGCCTACCCCAGCCGTGCAGCACCGCTGCCCACCCCTTAAGTGCACAGGACTCCACCCACCATCGCCCAGCAGTGGCTGCCAGGACTGCCCTTGCCATGTGGCTGATCACACTGCTCACCCTCTGCTGTCTCACTGCAGGCTCCTGCAGGGAAGCCCCAGGTAAGAGGTCCCTGCTGCCTGTCCCCAGATGAAGGTAGCCCAGGCCCTTGCTGGCTGGAGTCCCCAGGGGACCAGGGCAGGGAAGGGGCCAAGGGTGGGAAACACCAGGCAGTGGGAACAGGGGTCCTGGGGGAGGGGGGTCAGAGATCTGGGCACCAGGCAGGTAAATGTCCTGTGTATACTGTGTCTCTGGGCTCAGGGCCCTGAGCAGCCTGAGACCACTCTCGGCAGGGACAGACAGGGTCAAAATGGAGACTGTACCCATGAGGAGGGTTTCTCTGCTTTCTGCCCAGAAGGGTGGCTGCCCTTCTGCTCCCTCTACTCTGAACCTGAGGGCCAGCAAGTGAGGCAGGGAGGAGGAAGAGGATGCTGCAATGCCGGAAACTGAAGCAGGGCCAGGCCAGGTAGCTTGCACACAGCCATGCATGCCCAGCAGCAGAACCTGGCCACAGGGAATACTGGGGGCCATCTTCACCAGCACAGCCTGGGTCTGCTGGGGATGGCATCCCACAGTAGCCACCTCTAGAGGGGTGCCCCAGGATGAAACCCTTCTGGGTGCCCTGCTGAACTAAGGGTAGGGGAGGAATAAGAGTTACCCTACTGATCACAGTGCTTCCCCTTTGCTGCCATGGCTAGAGGAGCCCCCAGGCTACCAGGAGATCAGAGCCCCAGGGACCCTTGGGCTGAGAGGCCACCAGGTCACCAGGGTCACTTCCAAGACAGTACAGGGGGCGCCCTAACACCAGGGACCTGTGGCAGGCAGACATCCTGGGGCCACATCCTGTGCGCACACCCCATTCCCTGGTCATGTTCAGTGTCCCCTTCATATGCTGGGAGTCCCTAGGTCCAGAAGGGCTATGTAGCAGGGGGAAGACAGGCTAACTTCTCCTCATGCTCCCTGTGTTTGGCTCTGAGGACACCGTGGGGGCAACTGTGGACATGCTCGTAAGCTGCACATGGTAGGGGAGGAGGTGCTGGCCATGTCATAGGTGACAGGCACACAGGTGAGGGGCACACAGGTAAGGGGCACATAGATGAGAGGTAATGCACTGGTGAGGAGCATACAAGTGAGTCTGCACAAGTGAAGGTAGATGGTGCTGGGACAGCAGGGGTAGAGAACTGGGCGGCTCCAGGGGATAGCATGGCCTTGGGCATGGGCAGCAGGCTGACCTGGTTCTTCACTTCTCTCAGATTTCTGTTCCCAGGACCTTAACTTGAGTATTCAGCCAGGATCTCCCATACCAATAGAAACCAACAACCCCAGAGTCCTCAAAGCAGCCAGGTACAGCGTGGAACGGTTCAACAACTGTACCAATGACATCTTCCTGTATAAGGAGGCCCACATCAGCAGAGCCATGGTGCAGGTAAGGCTGGGCACACAGGCTGGATGCTCCCTACATGAGTCTCCTTCCCCTGGACCAGGAGGGACAGGGGTGCAGCTGGGCTCCTGGAACAGCCCCTCCTCCACACCTCAGCCCCAGGTACTTAGCACCATCCACCCCACTGTTGTCCCATTGCACACTGGCTCAAACCTGCTCTGCCCAAGCTGCAGAGGCTTCACGCTTCCCAGGGAACTCTCAGTAGCCCCTCCCAGCCATGCTTATCCCTGTCAGCATGGCCAGATGACAACCACAGGACATGGAGGGGACACCTCAGGAGTCATCTGCAGAGTCCAGGGACCCTGTGGGAGGCCAGCTTGGGACAACACCTACCTCCACATGTGCGGTTCCAGGGAAAGGAAGTAGAGCCTGAAGGCTGGAGATGTCCACAGCAGCATGGCCCTGGGTCACGAGGCCTGGCCAACTCAGCCTCTTCCCATTGTCCTTGGCCATGGGAGCTCAGATACACACATTCTCATGTTAGGAAACCTGCTGCCCAGGACAGTCTGGGTGTGGCCTGCACCCCACCCCAGGGTCATGGTCTTGCCTGGGCAAGGTGCCCAAGGTCCTCTGAGGAAGGACAGGACAGGGTCCCTTGTACTTTGGTGAGGCTGGGAACTTTGTTTCACATGGTATTGGAGTCTCTGAAGCTAAACCCTGAGGAATTTTCCCTCTCCTGCTCCACAGAAGAGGAGATGAGCATGAGCAGAAGGCCGAAGTGAAACTCCAAACCCATGGCTCCCAGGAAGACTGTGGGGCACAGGGCCAGGGCCTCAGCAGGCACTGTCCTCTGACATTTCAAGCTCCTAGGGCTCTAGTGTGGGTCAGCAGCTGGAGTGAGGGGCCAGGGTGGCCTGGGCTGGTGTCATCCTGAACACAGGTTCCAGGCAGTGGAGCTATCCTGGGAGGAATCTGACTCTGGCAGGCAGCTCAGGTACTGCAGCTCCTCCTTATGGCTCGTGGCCCACCCAGGCTGTACCAGGTCACCAGGCCTCCACCTCTGCTCCCCAGGTGGTGAATGGCCTTAAGTTCATGCTAGAGATGCAGATCAGGAGGACCACATGCAGGAAGACTGCGCACCCATCTCTGGACCATTGTGACTTCCAAACGAGCCCTGCTCTGCAGCAGGTAAGCATGCTGGGCCTCCTTCCTGCCCACCCAGCACCCAGATGGGCAGGGAAGGTAGTGTCCCCCACCTCACAGAGCAGACCCATGCCCTTCCCTCCCCATTCAGAGCCCTCCAGCTCTGTGGGGGGGGGGGTGGCGGATGAGCATGGAACCTTCAGATAACACAGTATGAGATGTGTCACAGCGTGACAGCTATCACATGCAGCAGGTCTGACAGGTGCACGCAACAGGTATACATGATGAATCGTATCTCTGAAGAGGGATGGCAATTGTGGTAAAATTCAACAATCCATAAATACAGATATAGGTGAAAATTATTCTTGAATCATTCTTTCAACTTTTCTGTAGGTTTGAAATTTTCAAAATAAAAACTGGGAGCAGAGAAGACCCCCCTCAATGAGGATCACACTGGCATGTACACACACACACACACACACACACACTCGAACACCCACCAGCACTGCACAAACCTCTAACAGCACAGGAGCTGTGGGACATCAGGGCTGGGCCCAGGTGGTATGGGCGGGGCCTGGCCAGGTGGGCAGGGCCTGGGCAGTGTGGGAGGGGCCTGGTTGGGCATTGAGGGGGTTAGGTCTCAGTCTCTCCTTTGTTTCAGACTCTGTGGTGCTACTCTGTGGTCTGGGTCATCCCTTGGCTCCAGTGGGTCCAGGTGCCTGTGCTCCGTTGCACTGACTTCCGCCTGTGGATACAGCATGTGCTGTGGACACCTGTATCCCCAGTCCCGAGGTCATGGCCCCAGCTGCCAGACAGAAGCACAGTGGATCCTAATAGAGGCCTGAGGCAGCACAATGACAGCTCGACAGTCCAGCTGTCCTGATGTCCTCTAAGATCAGTTTCACTGCTGCAGTGGCCCTGGATTTGGTTCTGGGATGGGTGGTACTGGGGGACCCCACTCTGGCCAAAAGCCCAAATCCATCTGCTGGTCTCAGCCACTAGGATCACAGCTCCAGTGAAAGACCAGGCATGCTTCGGATCTTGACCTTTCCTAGGCAAATTCAGGAATGAAAACAGAGCTGATGACTCAAAACAATGCTGTGCCTGCCTCTCTTCTTCCATGCGGCCCCAGGGCTGCAACCACTCAGCTCCATGCCCAGACCATTTTATTCTTTGAGACAGGATCTCAATATGTTGCCCAGGCTGGTCTCAATCTCCAGATCCTTCTGCCTTAGTCTCCAAAGCATCTGGGATCAGAGGCACGCACCACCAGGCATCACCTGTTGTCAAAAGGGTCAGGAAGGCCAGGCAAGGTTGCCAGATGTCTCCCCTCAAGGTCTGGCAAGTGTAGGCTGCTTTCCTGGGGCCCCTGGGGCCTGCTCAGTCCCCAGCTGCTAGCAGAGAGGCCCTGAAGACCCAGCAGCCAGGCTTTAGGCAGGCACCTCAGTGACGAGGGAGTGGGGCTCGCTCAGTCCCATGCCACCTGGGGGCCAACCCATCACACATGCGGGAAACTCAGTTCTCCTCAGGCTTTTGACCCAGTTCCAAATTCCCACTCACAGTAAGGCTGCACTGCCTTGTCTCCTGCATGTCACTCAGACATGGGGAGCCACTGAGACCAGGAGACGAGGCCCCAGTGGCCCCAAAAGCAGTGCTTTCACTGGGGCCCTGTGGACCCCATAGCCCAGGCACCGGTAGAAGCAGAGGGCAGCCAGGGCTGGCCTTACTTACCAGGTCGGAGCAAGCACAGTGAGTGTCCTGACCCACCATCTACCCTGCCAGGACCTCTCAGAAGGGTCTTGTGACCCCCAGCTATTCCCCGGGGTCTCAAATCCAACCACAGCCCTGCAGGCCTGCACACTGGCTTGTACCCAGCTCAGTATACCATCTGGGGACAGGTACTCACCCCTTCTCACTGAAGCAAACCAGCCACCACAGGGGCCCTTGGCCATGTCCCCACACACACCCACCCTGGGCCTGTCTCGGCTCCATGGACAGATGCCAGGTGAGGCTCACCGACACCAAGCAGCCGCATCATTATTCCAACCCATCACAGAAGAAAATGTCCCTCCTTGGGCCGGGGATTTAGCTCAGTGGTTCCACCACCTGCCTTGAAAGCCAAGGTCCTGAGTTTGATCCCCGGTACCAAAAGAAAATGTCCCTCCTCACCAGCCCCAGGGACACAGGGAGGACAGGGGCCAGCCAGACTTCTGGAAACTGTAATGCTCTGCCTCATCAGACCCACCCTAGAGACACCTACTCCAGGGCCAGCAAGCAGGTGCAGCCATGCATGCCCAGCCACCCTAGCCCACTGCCCCGCCCCTGCACCACTCCAGAGCCTCCCCACAACTGCACAGACAGCCCTTGCTCCAGGCGTTGTCAAACAGTGAATCCTGTGGTGGACCCAAACCAGGTGACAGGGATACCCTGGAGATGGAGAGGATGTGGACCAGTGACGGCCTGGAGTCCCATGCTGCCAACCCAGCTTTGCCTGTTTAATTTATCAAGTTTATACTGACACAGAAGGAATCATTGTGATAGCACAGGGATGCTGCGCTTCAGTGAGTGTCACTGTCACTGAGAAAATGTAAAGTTAAAGACTCAGCTCCTAAGGCATACCAGGGTTGTGACCAAAAAAGCAGCACTTTTGTTCAGTGCCTCAAACTGACCAAAACCAGCCAAACACCAAAGAGCTGCCCTGCAGGTCCAGAGCTTTCCAGTGGGCTCCAGGGCATACACAGCTCAGCTCAGCTCAGCTGCCCCTGCAGGTGGCAGGGTCTGGCTCTGATTAATGCTCCATAAACCTCACACTCAAATGACACTGATGCCCAGGCCACCCTGAGACCTGAGCACTCCAGAGTACTCTGCTGTCCCAGTTAGGGTCACACACCAAGGCCACCACCCAGCCAGGCCCTGAAGGCCACCTGTTCAGTCCAGCCACACAGCACATTCCTGCCCTGACACCAGAAGCACCCAGATCAGTGGGTATAGGCTTTGATTCCAGGCAGTCACAACGCTGGAAGCCTCTGTTCCCACCTGCAAAAGACCATATCCCCTTGCACATCAGCAGTCAGTGTGCAGCCAGGTGTGGTGCACAGCTGTAGGCCCAGCTACTTGGGAGACTGAGGCAGGGGGATCACTTCAGCCCAAGAATTGGCAACTACCATAGGCAACACAGCAAGACCTGTCTCAAAAAAATATATATACATGAAAAACTTTCAAAACTATATACCACTCTACAAGAGTATGCTGATAATAAAATCTCAAAGGGGTCCTAGGAAAGTCAGTACCTGAATCCTGACTGAGATTTTGTAACAGACAGCAGAGACCTGTGATGAATCACCCAAGTAATTTCCAAAGCGCAATACCCATTCACCTTAGCTGAAGGCTCTTTCATGAGTGAGAAACCTGCCAAACTTCATCTTGCCAAGCTACAGATAACACAGGAAGTGACACTTAAGACAGAGAATCAGTACCTCAATCAGAATCCAGATGTCTCTGCTGAAAACTGTGAAAACAGCTTGCCAGTTTCTCTTCACCAGTGAGAAATGAGCACAACAGAACCAAGGTGGCGGCCACAGGCACAGAACAGAGGCTCCAGTCACCTTGCAGCCATGGGGGCCATGTGCAAGGCATGGTGCAGGCTGTCTAGAAGCTACTGCACTTCCCCCCTGCAGGCACATGAACAGCACTAACAGCCACCCCATCAGGAAATATATTGCCTCATCTGGGCTGCAGTGGTTCTCACCTCTACTCCCAGTCATTTCTTCCGCATGACACTATCCAAGGAGTAACACACAGATGATGCAAGGTCACTTTGCCCAACTGCCACCCCCTGAAGGAGGCACAACCAGCACCCAGGGCAGGCAGAGGATGAGACCAACGGTTCAATTACCACAGCTGTCCATACTTCTGAATTTTGCTAATATTACTCAAACTGTTTCACCCATCAAGTTGTTCCAAACACTGGCAGAGACAATCCTGCAGGCATTCCCAAGCACCTGCTGCTACAGGACCTAGCCCGTGCTGCAGCTGGACAGCAGGAGGGAAGCCAGCGCCCAGTTACCCACAGGGAACCAGCACCAAGGCCGAGGTCAGGATCTTGGAAGTCTGCAATCTCTTGGGCAAACCAACAGGCGGCTTGGCCCTAACGTCCTGGCCAGGACAGCCCTCCCAGCAATTCTGAGGGACAAAACTTCAATCACTGAAATGATTACAGCAGAGAAGAATTTCCCAGGACACGCCATCAGCAGCAAAGTGAATTTAAAACTATTTATTATCAAAATTAAGACCAGTGTATCGACCTGTCAAGGTGTACAGCAGTTGGGGTCAGGGGGATATGACACTAGCAAAAGATAGGACATCACACATGCACTGCCCACACGGGGAAGCAGAACAAAGGTAGAGACAGCACATTCCCAGATGGGCTCTGTGATGCAGACTCCCAAGGGCTCAGTATGCACAGAAAGAACCCGCATAGGGCCTACCACTGCAGGCCTTTCCCTCCCGCCTGCTCAGGTCTGGAAACCTCTGGTATGCAGAGGCCAGGCGGCAGCAGGTGAGGCTGGGAGGACCCCACACATGGAGGGGGGCACCCAGAGCTATGTCCCACAGAGCCACAGGCTCCCCCACATACCCCCACACTCAAACTGTGTTCCCTGGCCCTTCTGTGCAATCTGAAAGCACACGCCCCCCCTTAAAGAGGGACACTGAAACCTCAGGATAAACCAGGAAGAGCAGTGAGGCCCTGGAAACTCATCAGTGGTTCTGGCCACAGGCCCTAAGCTCTATGGACAGTGCAAGTTTCTCATGTCCTAAAGAAAGACAGTGCCTAGAGACATTATTTTTTCTTTTAAGAAAAAAATGGCTTTCTGTGAATTGATCTTCCCTCTAAAGATGTCACTCCCAGGACAGGGGCTCCCTCGGGCTGCAGTCACCTTTCCATCCACACCTCCAAGGGCCCATAGGTGCTGAGACAGCTGTGCCCAAGGCTGCTCCAGCTTCCTGACACGCCCCGGCCTAGACTGACTGCAGGTTGAGCCTGCAGAGGAAGGGCGACCGGAAGGAGCCCAGGTACAGGTGCCCATCGTGCTCATGCACCTCACTGATGTAGGAGGCCACCAGCCCATCGGGGTCGTGCAGGCTCCTCCGGAAGGCGCCGCTGTCACTGAGCTCCAGAACCAGGCTGTACCGTGGCAAGAACTTCATCACCGTCTCCTGACTGAGCAGCTGGGGAGAAGCACAAAGGAGCGGCCCTCTGACATGAGAAGGCCAAACACTGGCGACCCCACAGCCCTCACCACCCGGGTAGCAGAGTCCAGAGCCCCTGTGCCTGTGGCCCACAGACTGGGCCAGGGGCCACACCAGCAGCAGCACAATTCTGCACAGCCACCCTGAGCATGCAGAAAATAAGTCCCACCCGGGAAGTTACCACACCAAAGCCAAGGCTGCTGGTGACCTCATCTAGCAGAACATGAGGCCAAAGCCAGCATAGCTTCACAGGATCAACAAGTCCCCTGGTGAGGGTCAAAGAATGTCAGGCATGCAGGGTACAAAGGACGGAGACCCAAGAAAGCTTCCATTCAAGACAGCCTGAAAAGTTCAACGTGCTATGTGCCACAACCTTGGACATGGCCCATGGCACCAGCCTGATACAGGGGCACCTCCTTGCACAGGCACAGGGCACAGGGCTGATGAGGAGGCTGAGACGGGAACCACATGGGGAGGGAGTGATGGCTGCAGAGAGGACCCAGCAGGAAGCTGTGACGCAGGGGTGGGCAAGAGGAGTGAAGTGAATGAACAGTAGGTCTCCACCCAAACACAGGCAGATATCCCACAAGTCACACCTCCCCGTTGAGGAAATGTGGACTGCTCTAGAAGGCTTACCAGCAAGGGATGGGCTATGTGACAACACGCAGGACTCCAGAACCTCCTGTAACACAGAGCCTCTCTCTGCCTCCCTATCTTACCCCAAAGATCCCACCCTCTAGCTCCAACAGTCACTTTCCAAAGCCTCTGAAACCTCAGCCTCCACAACCAGCACTGAGTCCCTGACTTGTATCGGCTGCTAAGGCTGGATCACCACTCTCAGCCTGGCCCTGGCCCTCTAGCCCAAACCCCACACCAAAGGGCCTCAGGACTGGCCACTGTGTGTGCACCTGATCCTGACCTAACTAACCCCAGCTCCACAGCCAGCAGGGCTGCTCCAGGATGCCCACCTTTTCCACGGCAGCTTCCTAAGACTGTGCCCTTAATAGCATAGTCAGGGCTGCTGTGAGGCTGAGCGGGGTGGGTGTACAGGGGACTAGAACCACAGTGGCCAGAGGAGGCCTCAGAGCCTCCTCTGCAGAGGGACAGAGAGTGTACCGCTACAGCGGGGCAAAGTGGCACAGGCCTCAGGGCCCACAGGCGAGGCCATACCTGCAGCAGGGTAGGGTGACACAGGGTCAGGACCCACAATGAGGGTGTCCTTGCAGCAGGGTAGGGTGGTACAGGCCTCAGAGTCCATGGGTGAGGGGTGCTGAAGGCGCTGTGAGTGCCACTGGCAGGTGGATAGTGTTTTTATAATAGTGTGAATATCAGGATGGCCAAAGGCAGACTCCATGAAGATCGAGGGAGGAAATGGGCAAAATGCAGGCCGAGGTGAGGCAGGAAGATGCCCCTAATGACTGCTTCCTCCATGAAGGACCTAGCAGGGAGTGGGGCAGGGCCAGGGGGGCCTGGGATGGCCAGGGAGGAGGGGGCTGAACCTGACATGGGGTGGGGGCCCCAGAACACAATGAGCAAAGATGACAGAAGGCTCCTAGAAACAGAAAGCAGAAGGAAAAGGGGGGAGACCAAAGGGTCAAACATTTAAATTTATATTTCGAAATGAAGAATAAAGTGTGTTTTACGTAGACATCACAAATACCAAAGATTATGAGCAGAACTAGAACTTTTAGGGCTATAAAGGTCAAAAAGAGCATAATTAGATTCATTTTTCATTGTGTTTTTTGGCACTATAGTTTTCTAGTTACCTTGAAAATCATCGTTTTGATCCAGGGCTTGTCTGATAGGAAATCCAGCATGGAGAACCCGGGGTTCTGGCGGATGACGGACATGGCAACCCAGTAGCCCCCCGAGCTGCTGGGCCTGATGTTGTCGGGGAATCCGGGCAAGTTCTCCGCGAACACATCGGCCCCACCCTTCATCAGGCCTGACACGTAGACCCTGGAAAGTTCCATGCAGGCAGAGCTCAGCCCCAGTCAGAGGAAGATGCCCCAGCCAAGTGCCAGACAGGTCCTAATCCAAGCACAGGCGTGGAAACATTGTGGAGGGTGTTCCTGGAGAGCACCCAGAGAGAAGCAGGAGGGGACCAAGGCCCAGAGTGCAGGGAAAAGGGACTCCGTTGTGCTGGCGTTAAATCGAGACCCTCGTAGACAACTCCCAAGGGGCTGAAGTAGAGGAAGAAGCCCACCTTTGAGTATGGCTTCCACCCGTGGGACACAAGCCAAGAGCACCCGCTATACCCCAGACTCCCTCCCACCCTGTCTCTACCCACAGTGACACCAGCTGCCTGGGGATACAACACACACCTGCGTATCCTCGCCATGGTCGTTTCCACCACCAGGACAAAGTCCTCCTCAGGAGACAGCTGCACTCCATTGGGAAACCGTAGCTGGTCCAGAAGCACCCGCACCTCCTGGGTCTCAGTGTCATACTCCAACAGGCTGGGGAACAAGTACAGTCACACAGGAGGGTCTGCACGCTTGCAGCCTGGTCCCACTCTGGGAGGTGACTCCTAACTCAGAGTGGCCAGGCCTAGTTGCTGTGCTGCCCTGGAGCTGGGTCAGCCCCAGGGGGGCCGGCACTCCAACCCCAGGCCCTCCAGCAGGCCAGCTGTCTATGGGCACCCTGTCTGTCCACACCACCCATTGTACACTAGCCTGTGCCATTTTATTTTCTCAAAGAAGTGAGGGCACCTGCTCCCCCACCAGTTTCAGACACCATCAGGGCCCTTCCCAGGAGCTGAAGGAACACTGTGGAACACACCAAAACTCCAGAGGCTGTCAGTATGACGCAAGGTCACCTGCTGGGCACTGTCTGGGCAAGGATGAGTCCACACCTACCGCCCGTCATCGGTGCCTTCCATAACCAAGAACAGGTAATCTCTTCTCTGCCACTTGCTGCTGGAATCAGTGAAGTAAATCTTTCGCCCATCCCGAGTAATGGCAAGATCGTTCACAAAGGACATCTTCCTTCCCTCAATGGGCGTCTCGGAGGACAGCAGCAACTTCACTTCCCCTGAAGGGAGAAAGAAAAAGAAAGGCTGGCTTCCATTCTAAGAACTTGTTTCTCAATGATTCCAAAATATTAATCAGCTCAACTGATGTAAAGAGAGAAAGCTAAAATGAGCTTCTCTGGGTCTCATGTCAGAAGAGGGACTCCTTCCTGCAGTGAGAATGGTGCATCCATCAGCTGATGGGTGATGAGTGCACTTATCCTCAAGGCAGAACCCCTCCCCAGGAGCAATGTGAAGTCCCGCAGATGGGTGCCCACCGATGAATGGGTGGCCATGGATGGATGGGTGCCCAAGGACAGGTGCCCACACATAGGTGCCCCACGGCCTACCACAGTGCCTCATCCTCGGCATGAACCTGTACCATGAAAGCTATGAGCCTGGTCATGGTGACAGGACAAACAGTCAGGGGGCAGAAAGGAAGAAGGAAGGGCAGCTAAAAGATAAAAAGAAATGAGGGACAGAAACAGAGAGAGGAAAATAAAGACAGAGCTAGAAAAGAGTTCTAACACCCACAGAGTGAGTCTGTCTGAGACCCTAGGCTATAAAATCCAACTGTCTGGGAAGTCAGGGCAGGCCTTACAGCAACACGGACTGATACCAGCTGCCGCACAGCCAATGCTTAATGAGCGGGAAACCTCGGCAAGGCCTCGGTGACTCTAACAAATCCTACTTAATCCACTCATGCATGCACAGATGTAAAATCATCATGGAGGAAAATAAGTCACTGTCACGTACGTTTCCGGGGGTTAACTTCAAACAGCCCCTTGTATGCGTCAACCACAAAAAGAGTGCCATTGGGCCCCACACGGATGCCCAGGGGCCTCCCACAGGCAGGTTCATCCTCGCGAGTCTCTAGGAAGAAGCAGACAGGCAGGCGTTGAGCCACTGCACCCACCTCGGGGTCTAGCACCTCACCCCTCACTAGACAGACTCGGGACTGTACACAGCAGAGGACAGGGTGTTAGCACTGGACCTACAGGGTGCTGGGGTACCCAGTGTGGGGAGTTCACCATGGGGCTCACCACAGGGCTCACTGCAGCTGCTCAGTGTCCACATACAATGGAACAGAGCAAAGAATCAGACACAGAGTTTAAGTCCACTGGTGAAACTGCAGTATGGATGCCAGTGCATAGCACAAAGCCTGAAAAGCCGCTCCTTGGCTCCTTGGATGTCAGTAACAATTACACCTGAGCAGGTCTATGGTGAATTTTATTTGGTTGTTCATTTGTTTGTGTCATTTTGTGCTGTGTCCACTTCACAATGAAAATGCATCACTTGTACAAAAATAACTTCCTGTAAAAATAACATCTAGGACTGGGGTTTAGTGCAATGGTAGAGCCCTTGCCTGCCATGCACAAGGCCCTGGGTCCAGTCTTCACACCACAAAGAGAAACTCTAACATAAAATAGAAATAGAAATAAAAATAAAAATAACCAGTAAGAAGCTGTGGACTATCAATTTATAAACAGTGAGGTTCTACTCTAGGTTTCCAAAATCTGACTGATGTAAGGGTGTTAGTTTTGAACAGCATTGCTAAATTCCTGAGATGCCCATGCAGGTACCACACATAAGCACCTGAGTAATGACAAAACCACCTGCTTTTTTACCAGCACTCTTACAACACTCATTAAGCTCTGAAGTGACCCCAAAAGTGATCATAGGCCCAGTGGTCTGGTGAAGGGGCGGGGCCTCAAGAAGTACTGAGTGGGACCCAGAGACAATGTGTCAAACAGAGAGCGAGTGGTCACACTGAGCATGTTCCCCCTACAGATGTCCAGCATTTTTCTCCACAGGTAAAACTACCTTTCAGAAAAAGCAGTTCCACCTTGGGCACACTTCTGAGTGACAGTCACAACTTACTGCATGGACCTGAACCAAACCGGGCGATAGTCTCTGCTTCACCATTTTCAAGTTTCAGGACTTGGCCGTCAGCTGTACCAGTGAACATCACATCTGTTTACAAAGCAAAAAAGGGAAAGGTCATCCAGGGTTGAGCCAGGAACTGTGACCACACCACCTTTTACAACAGAAGGCAATGGCAGTTCTGGGGATGAAGGGAAGGACTATCACAGAATGTTCAAGATCCCTTAAGACTTACAATGACAATACTATGGGGCCAGGAAGCCCACAGTGGGTGTGCAACATGTGAGCAAGTGTGTCACATGTGAGTCAGTGAAACGAGCAGTGAGGCCTCCCTCCAGTCCTGAGTTCCCAGGCTGGCGCTCAGCACTCAGCACAGTTACATCCACCTCACAGCTGTGTTCACTGTGGACACAGATCACACCCTACAGAGGACAGGAACTGCTAAGAGTCCTCAGGGTAAAATTAAAGCACAAAGCACTCACTTCAGTGGCATATGTACTAAACTAGACCAAGACAGCAGATGAGCACAGCTCTGATGAACAAATCCCTAAAACATCCCACAGCTTTTAAATGCATATGGCAAACTCTAGAGTGAGCACTACAAAATACAAGAAATTTATAAACGATATGCTAAGAAGAGAGAAAATAGCATCATAAAAAATGTTCAATTTAAAACTACAAAAGGCAGAAAAAGACAAAAATAGAAACAAAAACAGAACTCAATGACAAATATGGTAGATATTAATAAGCCCAGGATATCAATCACTTTAAACGTCAATGGTCTAAATACACCAATTGAAAGAGAGAGTAGAGCAACAAAGAAGATCTGGCTGTGTCTTGTTTACAAGAAACATACTTTAACACAGAGCCACATACAGACAAACAGCACAGGAATGGAGAAAGACCACCATGCAAACGCTACTTCAGTCAGAGCAACTACAAAGCTAGGAAAGTACTAAGAGGTAGAGAGAAACAGTTTGTGAAGGTAAAGGAGTCAGTTCTCCAAGGAGACACAGCAATCGTGGATGTGGATGTGCCTCCCAACACAACATCAAAATATGAGGCAAACACCAATAAAACTGCAAGGAGAAATAAAATCTACTGTGACTGAGTAGACTGGAGTCTTCAACATCCTTCTTCTGGAAATGGACAGATCAGGCAAGCAGAAAGTCAGTAAGACACGGCTGGGCTCAACTGCATCACTGCCAGTCACCAGCGCACCAACTGACATCCATGAGGGCCTGCCTCATCAGCAACAGCGGCCTTCCACACCCAGAGGGCCATGTCTGAGCACTACACCAGTCACAGTCAAACATGTTTTTTAAAACTGTGCCTACACTGAACGGAAACAGTTTTTTGTCTTTATTCCTTAAATGTAATAGTACTTATATCGCATTTACATCATCTCAGGTACTATAGCTGATGGAGAGAAGATTTGGAGTACACAGGAGGATGTAAACAACTCTACGAAAATGCTGTGCCATTCTGTACGAGACCTGAGCAATTGGGGTCTTGGAGCCGACTCCTGGCACTGACTGTGTTTATTCTCCTCAGACTCACACATAACATTCACCAACCCTGACCACATTCTGGAACCTAAGACACACTTAACAAATTTTAAAAAGCAGAAATCATATAACATCTGTTCTCAGACCACAATGGATTTAAACTATAAGTCAATAACAAAAATGTAGTTACAAAATCCCAAAATTCTTAGCGATTAAACAACATAGTTCTTATACAGCTTGAAGAAGAAATTTCATGAGAAATTAAAAATATTTCAAGCTGAATGAAAATGAAAATGATTTATCAAAGTTTTGGGGATACAGCAAAAGTAATACTTAAAGGAAAATTTAGAGCACCATACAGGTATGTTAGAAAGTTTAATATATTTAAATTCAGTAATCTATGTTTCCGACTTAGGAAACTAGAAAAAAAAAGATCAAATTAAATCCAAAACAAACAGATGACAAGAATTTTTTTTTAAATCAGGGTAGGTACTGATGAAATTGAAAACAAATCAAGTTTTAAAAATCAATAAAACCAAAAACTGGGTTCTTTGAAAAGATCAATATAACTGACAAATACCTAGGCAGGCTAAGAAATAAAGAGAGGAAATACAAATTGCTAACATCAGAAATGAAAATGTGGACATCACTAAAGATTCCATGGATTCCACGGATAGTAAAAGAATAACAAAGGAATATTATGAACAATGCTGTATCTAAATTAGATTAAATGAACCAATTCCTTGAAGGACGTGATCTGCCAAACTATACAAGGAGAAACACACAATGTAAATTTTCCTGAATCTATTAAAGAAACTGACTAATAATCTTACAAGACATAATGCATCAGGCTCAGATGAGTTCACTCATGAATTCTATCCAACATTTAAGAATTATAACCAATTCTCTAAAATTTCTTTCAGAAGGCAGAAGCAGTCAGAATACTTCCTAACTTATTCTATGAGGCCAGCATTACCCCAATACCAAAAGCCACACAAAGGCATAAGAAAACTACAGATTAGTATTTTTTATGAAGACAAATGCAAAAACCCTCTACAAAGCATTAGCAAATCAAACCCAACAGTGTATACAAAGAACCATACACCACAACCAAGTGGGATTCATCTTTGGTATGCATGCAAGCCTGGTTTAACATTCAAAAGTTAATTAATGTTCTCTATCACACCAAAGGCTAAAAGAAAAATCCCATGATTGGATCAACAATCATGACTCAGAAAAGGCATTTGAAAAGGTGCAACCTCCATCCTGGGGAAAAGAAAAACCTCTCCATAAGCTGGGAATGGTGGGAGCTTCCTTAATTTGATAAAGACTATCCACAAGGCCTGGGGATTTAGCTCAGTGGTTTCACTGCCTGCTGCGCAAGCCCAAGGACCCAAGTTGGATCCCTGGTACCAAAAAAAAAAAAAAAAGACTATCTATAGACAATAGCTGACTGACACTGCCACGAGGACTCAAATCTCTCCTGCTGAGATTAGGAACAAGGAAAGGCCATCTCCTCACCATTCATTTTAATATTATCTTGAAGGTCACAACTGACTCAATAAGAAAGAAAATTGAAGGTCTATCAATGAGGAGGAAAAAATAAAACTGTCTTTGTTTATAGATGAAACACTGTCTGGAAGAATCAAGCAAAACAAGAAGTAATTTGCAGTTGTAACAATGTTACAGGATACTAGGTTAATAATATGCAAGTCAATCACATTTCTATATACTACCAATGAACAAATGGAATTTGAAATTAAAAACATCATTTATATTAGCTCAAAACAATGATATAGTTAGGTATAAATAAAACAAAATATACAAGCTCTGGATTTAGCTCAGTGGTTCCACCGCCTGCCTCACAAGTGCAAGGACCCGAGCCTGATTCCTGGTACAAAAAAAAAAATACAAGTTCTGCACAAAGAAAACTATGAACTATGATTAAAGAAACCAAAGAACTGGATAAATGGGTAAGACAATTCAATATTATCAAGAAGTCACCTTTTCCCAAATTGACCTAGATTCAATGCAATCTGAATCAAGATCCCAGCAAGTTACTCTGTGGATATCAGCAAACTGATTCTAAAGTTTATACAGAGAGGAAAAAAACCCAAAAGCATCAACATAATACTAATAGAGAAGAGCAAATTCACCAAACTAAAGAGCCCAGAAATAGACTCTCATAAACACAGCCAACCCATCCTTGACAAAGAAGCAAAGCCAATAAAATGGAGGAAAAAAACAGCATTTCTCACATTCGGTGCTAAAACAATGGGATGTGTACAAAAATTAATCTAGACACAGATTTTACACCCTTCACAAAAATGGACTCAAAGTGGATCATAGACCATTATGCAAAATGCAAAACTATAAAAATTCCAAGGAGATAACATAGGAGAAAATCTAAGCGATCCTGGGTATGACAATGACCTTTAAGATTGAGGTAAAATCCCTAAGAAATAATTGACAAGCTGGGCTTCACAAAAATCAAAACTTCCTGCTCTGTAAGAGGCTGTCAAAAGAATGAGAAGACAAGCGCCACAGACTGGGAAAAACTATTTGCAAAAGACATGTCTGATAAAGGACTGTTATCCATAATATACCACGAACCCTTAAAACTCAGCACTAAGAAACTGAACAACTGAGTTACAAAAGTAGGCAGAGAACCTCGTCAAAGATCTAGAGGTGGGGCCGAGGATTTAGCTTAGTGGTGTTGCTGCCTAACTCACAAGCTCAAGGTCCTGAGTTCTATTCCTGGTACAAAAAAAAAGTTCTAGAGGTGGCAATAAGAGAGGTTCAGTAGCATCTGCCATCAGAGAAATGCAGATGAAAACATCTACAAGATATCATGATGAGCCCATGAGAAAGGCCAGCATCTGACATGGACAGCAAAGACTGGTAAGGATGCTCAACACCATCAGGACTCTCACTCCCTGCTAATGGGAATGCCAGGTGAAACAGCCACTCACTCGGGAAAGCACCCTCAGCTATTCCACAAAACCAAACTTACTCTTACCTTATGGTCTACTCTTTGGTATATTCACCTAAATAAATTAAAAACTTAAGTTATGTTATTTTAGATCTAAAATGTCCCCCAAAGCCTCATGTGCCCATGGGTGGATTGGGTTATGGGGGTTTATAGCTGGCTTCCTGTTAGGAGGTGGGGTTCGGTTGGAAGAGGTGGTCACTAGGGGCATGGCCTGGATGGGTCTATCTTCCTCCCAGCGCCTCCCTTTGCTCTGGCCTTCCTCTTGGCAGCTTTTCCTTCACCATGACCTTTCTGTCATGCTGTCCTGCCTTGGCACTGCAGACTATGGACTGTAACCTCTAAAAAATGTACCAGAATAAACTTCTCCTTTAAACTTTGGATGTTGGGTATTTTGACCCAGCAACAAGTAAAGTGATTACGACAGTTCATACAAAAAAACTGCACACGCGTTTACAGCAGCCTTATTCCTAATTACCAAGACCTGAAAACAAGCAGACATCCATTAGTAGATGAATGGATAAATAAGCTATAATACAACCAATCAACAGACTAGATTCCGTGTTAAAAAGAAATCTGCTATCAAACCCTGAAAACGTGGAGGAACCTGAAATGCATATCACTGAATAAAGGAGGCACTAAAAAGACTACCTGCTCTATGACTCCCACTCCATGACAGGCTGCATAAGGCAGCACAAAGGAGATACTACAGAGATGAGTGGCTACCAGGATGAAAGGGGAAGGACAGGTGATCAGGAGGGCAGGGCAGTGAGAACACTCTGCAGGATACTGTAATGGTGGACAAATGTCACTACAAACGTTCAAACCCAGAGTGCACAACACCAAGCTTGAGTCCTGATGTAAACTACAGACTCTAGGAGTACAGTTTCAAAGTGGGTTCATCAGCTGTACCAAATGTACCATATTCTTGATGATTAAAAAAATCCTTTTGGAAAATTTCTGTACCTTCTGCTCAATTTTGCTGTTAGCCTAAAACTACTCTTAAAAACAGACTCTACTCAAAAACAGATGAAGTGTGTTACTTGAAGATTATTTACCTGCTCTGTGGCCCTAACTGGCCAGCACCCCCAGGACACCAGGTCACCCCCAAACAAGGTTGCAGCAGCCACAGGTCACTGGTGCCACACTGCGTGCCACCCATGGGGTGTAACCTGAGAGGTCCCCTGGGCCTACCCAAGACTGCTGCCCATGGGCAGCCAGCTCCTCTGTGAGGAGAAATGGCAAAGGCAGGACTGGGGTCTTCTTGAAAGGTGAGGCCACCGGCTTGAGCATCACCTCCCACAGGTTCCAGTTTTAAACTGCAGTATTTCATTTTTCACCAAAAAAAGTAACATTTACTAATATATGCATCAATGTCTTTTAAAGAAAAATGAGAAGTTCTATCACACAGTATTTGGTTTTCTTGCAACAATTTTGACTTTGTCATCCAAAAATCAAATCAACAGCTACCAAGATTGGGCCAAGCTGCAGGAGCCACAAAAGACTGAAGTAAGATGAGAAATAAAGAACTGAAGGCTAGGAGCATTTAGGACTTGCAGGTCACAGCTCCCACCCACGAGTCACCAGCACCATTTCCAAAGATGCTGCTCAGAAATCCTCACACCAGGAGGTCTGTTCACCTCACCAACTGTGTCTTCTTAGTACTAAGCCTAATTCTCACTCTAACAGCAAATGCCTTGTCCAGGTTACTAGAGACCTGATTTGAGCTGGCAGCTGGGAGGGGTGCGGACATCACACAAATAGACTTCAAACACGGAGAGCTGCTCATCCCCAGCTCAAGGTGAAGCCAAAGACCAAAGGGACAAGAAACTCAGGCTCCATCCACCACCCACCTTCACAAATGATACAGGCATCACATCTGCACCCTACCTGTCCCCTTCCCAGTGCTCTGAGCACAGTGAAATGCCTCTAGAGACGGACTCAAAGTCACCAGCATCAAAATGTCATTCCAGAGAGACATAGGAGAAGCTTGAGGGCCACTTGTGCTGGGCTGCCCACCTGGCAGACACTGCTCCAGGTTCCACGGGGCTCCCTAGAACCCACCCCCTTGGCTCCATGCGCAGTCCTGGTTCACTCACCCCCGATATTTGCTATGGACTCTGGCCCAGTGAGCTGATTCTCAAACAGCCTTTCCGCCTGCCGCAACTTCGTATTTGGTTGCAGGACACCAAGCAGCAAAGGAGGTTCTTTGAAGCTGTAAAACAATGCAGTTGTAGGGATGCATCCACAAAAACACTTTGGAAAATGTCTGCTGAGGACTGATTACATGCACAATTCCCTGTTCTCCAATAAACAGAGCACATTCCAATAATATCCTTACTTGCCAGACACATAAAAGAAAAAGAAAAAAAAAAAACGGCTATCAGAAAAGGTCACACTACTAAGTAACTGTAAAAGCATCAATACGGCTAATGCCAGGGCTTTGACAGTCAACCGCTGGGCAGCACAGGCATCCACAACAGGTAACTATAAGAAGCAGGGCTCAATAGGGAAGGGTGGTAGGGGTGAAGGGTGCATAGGTAATAGGGGGAAAAAATAAGAACTAAGATACATCATGTTCAGGTACAAACACCGAATGATAAATGTAAACGTATTGTATACCTAAAATGTACCAATTAATATATAAATTTTAAAAAAAAGAAGCAGGGCTCAGCAGCACCCTGCCAGCCAGATCATGGGAGTGTGTGACAGTGTGAGAGATTGTGTGTGTGTGTGTGTGTGTGTGTGTGTGTGTGCGCGCGTGTGTGTGTTGCTGGGGACTGATCACAGGGTGCTTTATCACTGAACTACACCCCCAGACCTTTTTATTTTTTGAGATGAAGTCTCACTAATTTGCCCAGGCTAGCCTTGAACTTGCATTTCTCCTGCCTCAGCCTCTTGAAAAGCTGGGATTACAGGTGTGTGCCACCATGCCTGGCTCACACAGACTCTTCTTAAGGCCAGAACTCATGCCAACTCAGCATGGATGCTGTCTACATTCAGTTTCTGATTTCATTCTACTTCTCCCCATGTTCTGCCTGACCAGGATCCAGTGCCAATCTTCCCTCTCCAACTCTGTTGAGTGTAGATGTCATAAGCCTGTCATGCACCAGTGTATGTAGCCAGGACACTGCCTTATGGCACACCATCTGGGGGACACTGAGTCAGCAGCAGCACCAAGTCTCCACCCACAAGAACTCCAGGCAGGCCCTGGCTTCCTCGCAGAGAGGAGCAAGGGGTGGCTTTCCATAGGACAATACGGATGCTTGTAGTCATTTCTAGAAGATGTTTATCAGTTAAAGTAAAACGTAAGGTTAAGAAAATATCACAGCATTTTAGAGAAGAGATTTTGTTGCTATAACTTTAGAGACCAACAGGAAGAGTACTGCTGGCAGCTGAAAGCTGTCACAGCACAGAAGAACCATTTACTACCAGTGTGAAACTATAAAACTCAAAAGATGATAAATAAAAATTAGCAAGACAGGCAGAGGATTTAGCTCAATGGCACCACACCTGTCTCACAAGCACAAGGTCCTGAGTTTGATCCCTGGTACCCAAAAAAAAAAAAAAAAAATAGCAAGAGCCATTAAGGTAATTGGCCATTAGGAGCTAAGAGAAGTCCATAAATCACACCAAGGCAGGGTCCTGGGAGACCTGTGGGGAGAGACGAAGGGCCTGACCTGAGCAGCAAGAGGGAAGGGACCAGAGCTGGGCCTTGCAGCACTCAGAGGAGCCCTGTGAGGTCCAGAGAGTGCTACCCCACAGCCACCTCTCCTCGCCCAGCATCAGGAGGCAATGGCAGCTTCCTGTCCTGAGCCAAGGACACAGGACAGAGCCCTGCTGACCTGCTCCCACCTCCCCGTCAGCTGTGTCCCCAGGACCCTGCATCATCGCTGTGCCTGTGCTGTCCCTCTGCCCTCCACAGTAGAGAGCCAGGCCGTGTGGCCTCCTGGACAAGCTTCTCCCCCACACTGCCCAATGCATGACCACCACCCAGAAAGCCCTGCCACCCTCCTTGCCGGCCCCAGGCCCCTGAGGCTCTCCTCTCTCCAACCACTTGGAGAGCTTCCCTCACTGCCTGCCTGCTGCCTCACCTGTTTACAGTAAACTTCAGTCAGCTTCACCCCATGAGTGTTCTCAGAGGGAGTCAGGACCTCATTGACCAGAACACACAACCCTCCTTCATCCCCCCACTCTGAGGTCACCTCAGCAGAAGGAGCCTGGCCCTGCACCACTATAATCATTAATGAGAATGTATATCAAGGGCCCCTTTTTCCAAGTGACGATGGCCTACATACTCCTAGATCTCCACTGGGTAAAGATAACTTAGAGAAAAAAATAGTAATTACAGGTTTTCAAAGAAATCAGTTACTCACTTCTTGGCCAAATACCCCATGCAGGTGGCCCTGCATTCCTGATATAACCCCAAGGGAACCTGTCCAGCCAGACAAAGTCCCACAGGGCTAAGAGAAGCCATAAGGTGGAGGGAGCCCCGGGCTGCAGAACAGAAGGCAAGGAGGGAAGCAGTCGCTGTCACCATCACCACCAGAACAGAAGACAAGCAGTCCAGGCATCCACAGGCCTAGTCCAGGGCAGGGCAAGGTGGGGAGGGCAGGGGGCGGTGGGTGGTAGAACAGAAGTGAGTGTGGTTATATCATCCAGGCAGGACAGAAACTGAGAAGGTCTGAGCGAAGATGGGAGAGAGCTGAAGGAAGGCCTGGGATGAGACAGACATGTACCAACTCCCCACAAGGAATGTGTTCATTATGCATCACAAACTTGTACTAAAAATAATAAAATAAAAATCCAGTTACTTACAGAATTTAAACAAGTAACTTAAGTCTAACATTCATTTATGTGCCCTTTTGCCACTTCACAGAACAAAGTTAACTCTCTATTTCTACAACTTTTTCTTATTTTGATTTCTGTCCTTAGTTTGTAAGCTTTTTCTAACAATGACAAAGACAACACCACCCACATACTCTGAGTAAAACTCAGAGTATGTTTATGCTAACCAATCAACATAAAACTCCTAAGGAAACCACGGTGCCTTCTCTCCTAACTTCCCCTCAGCCTACCCAGGCTGGCTGACTCAGCCTCCTTTCCCTCAAACCTACTTCAGCCTAACACACATCCCCCTCTGGGGAAATAAGGACTGCAGGGAGCTCACCTGAGAGGCTGAGGGTCGATGGGGGACTCTAGCAGCTTCATGGCTCCAAGCAGGGGAAGGATGAGGGTCGCAGCCAGCACCAAGAAGGTCATTCGGAAGACTCTGCCACTAAAGGAGCTGCCAGAAATAGAGCACACAGAGGTGGTCAGCAAAGCGTCCCAGGGACAGTCTGTGGAATAAAGGCCCTTTTGGCAGGAGCAGGGCCTCTCATTCGCTCCCTAGGGCAGGGTCATCGACCTTGGTGGTTTGTGATTAAGCTTTGGCACCATTTGCCATGAATAGCAAACTTTGACTGTACTTTGTTTTTTTAATCTTCCAGTGTGTAGGACACTCTGATCAGTTGTTTCCAGATCTTGAACTTCCTACTGTACCAGTTTTAAAGAGGACAAACTCAAAGAACAGATGAACACAAGAAGTAATATGAGAAAAAAGGTTACATGATGCTTGGTACTATGTGTCCCTCAGATTCTTAGGGATCAAGGAGAGTAAGGACTGGGGATATGGCTCAGTGCTACAGTACTTGCCCAGTGTGTCTGAGGCCCTGAGTTCCATCCCAGCATGGCAAGAGAGAGAGACAGACCAATTCATGAAGCAAATGGAAACCCAACAATTCCCTGAGCCTCCAACTCCCCAGTCATTTCACAGACCCCATTTTTTAGGAAGGAAATTTCAGCTCTTGTACTTGGTGGGAAGTCTGACAGATATAGTAATGACATAGACTCTACAAAATTAAAACTCTAAGCCATCTGTCCTGAAATCCTGGGAAGATCTGAAAGCTGCCTTGGAAATCTTGAGTGAAGTTTTTAGACAAATGACCAATAGTACGTAAAATATTTCTGAACCAATCCTCACATATCTTATTTCTCATCTGCTAAATAAGTGAGGAAATTTAGCTTCCTGCTACTAAATGAAGCCAATAAATCATTATTTGCTTATATAAGCTGCATTCCAATTTACTGAACACTTCACATTAATATTAACTTAAAGCAAATAAAATCATGACCACCTAAGACCACAATGGCAAACCTTTTAGAGACCAAGGACCCAAACTGCAATCCAAAACCCTCTTATTTATTGCAAAGTGCCAACACTGTAATTAAACCTGAATACTGAGGTTTTAGTTTAGAAAAGACAACTCATACAATTCATGACATCATCTCAGAGAGGGCTCAGCACGTGTGCCATGGGTTCACCACCACTGGTCTAAAGTAATGCTTATTCTATCAAAAACTAAAAATGTTGACTTAAAAAATTCAAGCTTCATGCTTAACAGAACAGGCCTGATTTAAGGGCACGGTTTAGATTTCTGACAGGACCATCTTCTGACATTAAGCATGTTCAACTTCACTCCAGCTGGAGTGCAGACGTGGAGGCCCAGGTGCCAGGCTAACTTGTGCAGCACCAAGCCAAGCAGCTCGGGCCAGTTTTTTCACTGCAGAAGCCCACAGTCTCCCACTGTGAAACGGGATGCTGGCAGGGACACCTCAATGTGGTGCCCAATCCTGAACAATTGAACCTCAATAAATGAATGAAGCGGAAAGTGAAATCTACTCTTGTTTCCACTGTGGTGGGTAGAAATGAACCACAAAGGGAAACAAAGACAAAGGAGGAAAGGAGAGAGTGGCTTTCGTAAAGGGTGCCTGACAGGCACTCTGGACAGCACAACTAAGAGTGCAGGGCTCTGTCAACAGAGTGATCAGGAAACAGGTTCCTCCCCATGATGAAGGATGAAGGAACCCTAACCTTAGCAGGGACCTGAGACCTGCCCAGGACCTTCACCTACAAGGTTCTAAGACAACAAATTTGAGTTTTTTACACCACTAAGGCTTTGGTAATTTGTTATAACAGCATAGGAAATGAACAGTTTTCTAAGTTATTTCCAGCACTGAAAGCAAGATGCAGCTGTAACAGATACCTAAAAATGTGGAAGCAGCTTTGGAATTGGGCTGTTGGTGAAGGGTGGGAGAATTTTGTGGAGCAGGACAGAAAAGGCCTAGGTTTCCTCGGAGAGGCTATTAACAGAAATAGAGATGTTAAAGATTCTGCTTGGGGGTCTCGGAAGGAAGGGAGGAATATGGTAGGAAAGACATATCATCTTCTATAGACACACTAAGACCTAACTCACCATGAACAGAAATGTAGGCATAAAAGGCACTGCCAATGAGGGCTTAGCAGGATGTCAGGAACATGTTCCCAGTGACACTGGGAAATGCAGAAAGACAGAGGAATATGTAGGAAAATGGATCCTTGTGGTCCAGTGGTAGGAAGCAGGACTGGTTCCATCTTGTAGATGATGAGGCTGGACACTGAGCAGAGGACGTTTCTTAGTCTATGTCGGAGGTACAGCCCTCGTTCCCTCCTACTGCTCTCCTCCACTACAGGGCAGGTGTCAGGGGCAGAGTTAACCACTGTTTTTGTTCCTCTGACATTTCCCCTTTGCAATGAGAATTCTCATGTGTGTCAATTTTCTTTTTGATAATCCTCCAAAATTTTGCCCCTAACTTCCTTCTCTTTGCTTGATAGGGTTCAAAATCCATCCCCCAACCCTCAGGTAAACTGCAAGCCATCAGTCTTTACCCCTTCAGCTAGGTGGCAAAGCAGGTGGTACAGGTGCATAAACCCAAACAAAATGCAGGAGACCCATCAAGGGGAGCCATGAGAGCTCAGGCTCCTGGAAGAGAGCAGGCAGCCAGGAAGGAAGTCAGGTCAACCCCTTCTTCCCAGTCCTGTCCCCAAACACTAGGGCCCTACAACCTTCTTCTAATAAAAGTGACTTATGCCAGTACAGGTACAAACATCACAGGCATGAAAATGCCTATTAAGTACAGATCAGTGACGACCATTCACACAGCAAGCAAACACAACCTCGGGTCTGCAGCAAGGAAGGAGCAAGGGCCACGGGAGAAGACCAACAGGACAGTAAAAACAAGCCGTGCATGTTATATCTCTGCCTCATGAATGAGCAGAGTGGGCAGTGGGAGGCTCAGGCACTTGACCACAGCCCACACCAGAACCAGCAGGCACCAAGAAAGCCAGTTCTGACTCCAGACTGCTGCTGCCAAAGGCAAGGCAAGGGGGCAGAATCTGGCCTGAGGGCCACAGGGTCAGGGTGTGAGATCACACGGTGATATGCCTGTGCCAACACTCACATGAAGGGGGCACACAGTGTGAGACCTTTTGTGATAGATTCTTCCACCCAACATTAAGACTTCCAGGTTCACCCACGCTACAGAATGCATCAGTATACTGTTCCTTCTACTGGCTGAAGAGCCTTCTATTGTCTGTGTATCCCAAAACTCATTTTTCCACTTATCCACTGAGGTATTTCCTGTCCATGAGAGCACGAAAGGGCTCCTTTCCCTCAATTATGATTTCTTAATGAGTACAAGGTGTTTCAATGGAGTGATGAAAAGCTAGTAGTTGCCAAACATTGTAAATACATCATATACCACTGAGTTGTATATTTTAACACTGTTTATTGTATCACTGAATATTGTGTGAATTTCACCTCACCTAAGAAAATTTAATACTGATCAAAATGTTCTAGAGGATGTAATTGTTGCAAAATTCCATAATTATACTAAAATTCCCAGAATAGGAGATGATAAATGGGTGAGTTTTGTGGTCTATGAATTGCTTCTCGATAAAGACGTTTAAAATTAAAGAGCAAAATCAACCACTCTCTCACACAAGGAGCTGTAGAGCTGGCTGTGAGCACCAGTGGCAGAAAGGCTTTTGTTAGTGTGGTTCTTTTACAAGCAGGGTCCCCAAAAGAGAACACATTCAAAGGTGCACAGCGAAGAGCGGTGCCTGCCTGCCACCACAAGCACTGACCTCAAGGCCCTCTTGTACAGAGTCCAACCTGGATTCCTGTCCTTTAAAGAACCTGACATGATCACACACCCCACCCCAGCCTCCTGGGAGAAGCTATAATCCTTCTCCTTTTGGCTATCAGTAAAAAAAGTGACAGTCTAACCAAAGTGCAGCTTTGTTTTCTCCTTGCCTAACCAAACATTCTCATCTGTCTCCAACTGGAACCCAGGGCGTCACACATGCTAAGCACAGATTCTATCACTGAGCTGCACTCCCAGCCCCTGTATTTGACATTTTAAAAAGCTTAATTTGGAAATGTGATTCAGAGTTTGCAACATCCTACTTAAGTATCTGATTGCCCCTTCGCATAATGGCAACTGGTTAAATTATGTCAAAAGCAAAAGGCCTGGCCAAGACTGAAAGTGACAGTGTTTACAGCTAGAAAAGCAGCCAAAAGTGCAGATGATCTGTGTCACACACCACTCTTCTTTGCTGGGACTGAGGGGCCACCCAGTCCAATCCTCTCAAAGGTAGAAGCCCCTGGATCACCTACATAAGCTTTAGCAAGGCCCAAAGCTTCTGGTCTGGGGGTCCACAGCAGGCCTGGGAACACTTTCTTTCCATCATCATTCCTGATACACACCCAACACTCTCTCATCCAAGTCCTCTCTCATCCAAGCCCATCAGCACCACCCAGCCCCACCTGATCATCGTCTAGTGCCTACTGGAAGCTCTGTGGTCAATGTTTAGAAATAGAAGCTTAAATCTAAAGAAAACCCCTGGAGCAGTGCTGTTCAACTTAGCCTCCATGATGACGGACATACAGTAACCACTTGCCACGTGTGGCTCCTTGGCACTCGAAATGGAGTGAGCTTGCTACACAAATGGGCAAACTTGGCTGCTGTGCCCATACAGCCTTGCCTGGATCCAGCTCATTAACTTTCTGGCAGACCATCCATCTGTGGTGCCTGCACAGTCAACTATACTTCCTCCCCCTTTCCTCTATATTGGCTTCCCTCTGACTGTGCACCACATTATTTTAACTTAAATAAGAGACACTACTCTTATCCCTATCCATTTTCACTAACCAGGTGCCACACACTCTCGGCCTGTGGTGTAGACACATCCAGGAAGGCTGGCAACTTGCTTCCAGGTGCAGTCTGGGAAGTCACCTTGTTTGCCCCATCTCTCAAGAAAAGCCTGGAGGAAAGCTTGCCTCTGGGGGCATGTGAAATTTCCTGAAATGTCTTGCAGTCTCTAAGGGCAAGAACACAACCATAGTGATGCAACATGTTCTGACAATT